CTGCCTTCGCGCCGCGGGCTGGGGGGGGGGGGGGGGGGGGGGGCTGGACCCGATGACCTGCTAGGTCCCTTCCAGCCCCTAACGTCTATGAAACCCTGGCACTCCCCGCGGGCCTCCCTGAGGGGGCTTCATCCTGACCTGGTCCCAGCAGGGTCCAGCGCCTCCCATCACCCCGTCTCCCCTGTGCCCTGGGGTGGGGGCACCCATCACTAGCTGCTTCCCGAGCCCACCCTAGGTCTCACTAACCCCCCCACCCCGTGCCTCTGTTTCCCCACCTGCCGTGCCCCCTGTCCCTTACCTCCTGTTTGGCTGTGGCCGGGCAGGACGCAAGCCCCCAGCCGGGCTCCTGGGCGCCAACAGCATCTGTTGCTGGCAGCTCCGGCTGCCTGGGTCTGGGTGGGGAAGCGCAGGGTAGAGAAGGTGAACTGTGCCTGGTTTTGGAGATAAGGGTATCTTGCTGGCCCCTGCTTCCTCCTTCCTAAAGTCATCTGATCGCGGTGCTCTGTAGGCAAATCTTTCTAGAAAGTGGAAGCAAGACTTTTGAGGCTGCCGTGTCAGGTTTGGTGGGCAGACTGTGCTCTGCCCCTGGAGCTTCACCCCAGAAGTGGCTGCATTTCTGGGCCGGGTTGCACAAGAGGGATGGGGGCAGCTGCATGGGAAGCCAGGGTTGCTGCATGAGGCTACGAGCAAACAGCTGATGAGGGTCATGGGCAGATGGGCCAGGAAAGAGCCAATGGTGCCCTTTGCCCTGGTCCTGGCGCCGGTGGCTGGACACAGAGCCCAGGGGAACCCTGATGGCCCTGTATCCCACTCCCCCAGAGCCGGGCCGAGGACGTGGTGACCATCTCCTCCAAGTACAAGCAGAAGTACGAATGCCGCCTGCCGCCGGCTGCCATCAAGATCCACCGGGAGCCTGAAGATGACCCCCGGGGTTACAGCGGGCTGGGCATCACGGAGCTGCTGCGGCCCATGGGTGCTGCGCCCTGTCTCCGTAAGGTGAGGCGCCTGCCTGCACCGGAGGCTGGACGTGGGATGGGAGGTGCCCGCCACAGAGCCTGCTGGGGAGCGGGTGGGGGTCGTCCCACAACCCCCCCGTTGCGCCCACTGGTTCGAGGCTCAGGCAGGCCGTGGCGGGCTCAGAGAGGGGGGTGGGTGACGTGTGACTGGAGGGGGCCCGGAGTCACACGTGTTACCCACCTTCCCTCCCCCAGACCAAGGACTGGTGGACGTATGAGTTCTGCTACGGGAGGCACATCCAGCAGTACCACATTGAAGGTACCACAGGCCGGCCGCGCTCCTGCTAGGGTTATGTTGCAGGCCCAGCAACATGCATGTGCATACATGCATGTGTCCATGCCCTGTGTGCCCAGTTTCCACCCCCACACACACTTTATTTAATGCTCCCCTTCCCTTGCCCAGACGGGACGAGGGATCCTCGAGTCTGTCATAACAGAGCTGAGCCTGGCTTGCCAACACCCATGTCCCTGCATGCGTACGTGTGCATGCTGGTGCTGCACGCACGCAGGTGTGCGGGCTGTAACTGTTTGCCCTTGGCTCTGCAGAGTCGGATATCAAGGGAGACGTCCTGTACCTGGGCTACTATCAATCTGCCTTTGACTGGGACAATGAGACTGCCAAGGTGCGGGGCATAGGGGGTTATGGGGGGGGGTGGGCTTCTGTGGGGTGAGGGGAAGGCATCAGCAGGGGCTGGGCTCTTTGGGGCAAAGTGGGGGCTGGGGTCTCCTGTGGGCTGGGGGGGACTGGACAGGCTGGCTTGTGAGTGGCGGCAGGGCCTGGCTTTCTGGCAGCAGAACCTATGTACTTTCTATGGTTCTTCCGTGACCTGTGTGCCTCAGTTTCTCCACCTGAAGCAGGAAGTGACTTGTGGTTTCCCACCCCCAGGCCTCGAAGCAGCACCGTCTCAAGCGCTATCATAGCCAGACCTACGTCAACGGCTCCAAGTGTGACCTCAATGGTCGCGCTAGAGAGGCTGAGGTCCGGGTAAGGTGGGGAACAGCTGTGGGGGGGTGGGGGGTTGGGTCTGGCTTTTCACTGCCTGGCTGGTTGGCAGCGTCCTCCCCCAGTGCTGCTTTCCTGGCCTCTGGGGTGGGCATAGGGGTGGTGATTGGGTGGGGGGTGCTAATTAGCTGCCAGGAGTCATTACACCCTGCGGGGTGCGGGTATCTGGCTAGAAAAGGGCTCAGGGAGGCTCTGGCTGGGAAGGGGCTTGTGGGGGGCCTCTGGCTGGAGGGGAGGGGAGGGGTGGGTCCACACTAATGTCCCCCGCACCTCCCCCCCAGTTCCTGTGCGAGGAGGGCTCGGGTGACTACATCGCGCGGGTGGATGAGCCGCAGTCGTGCTCCTATGTGCTGACAGTGCACACGACCCGCATCTGCCACCACCCCTTCCTACGCCTGCCCGCAGCTGCCGCACCCCAGCCCATCCGCTGCCAGCCTGCGCTAAGCCCTGCCCAGTACCTCCAGTATGTCCAGGCCCAAGTCTGTGAGTATCCAGACTGGGGGAGGGGGGCAATGCGGATGGCAGGGCCTGGTTGCCCCCCCACCCATGTGTGACCTCTGCTCTCGGCCTCCCTCAGCTGACACTAAGCGCAAGGTGGAGGAGATCTCGGAGGAGCTACGGACGCTGGACACACGGCTCTGGAGTGAGCAGGACCCCAGCCCGGCCAAGCCCCCACCCAGGGAAGACCCTTCCCTCGATGGTACGGCACTCGGACTCCTGGGTTTCTCAGCTGTGTGGGATGGGGAAGAGCCTTGGCTTGTGTAGGCCACTTGGAGAGCATCCTTGGGTTGCAAATGGGGCGTTGCCCCTTTAAGGACACCCACACCCACCTGGAGGCACTTACTATGGGGGGGGGGGGGGGGCA